AAGATTTTGGGGCGGGAAGTAGTCTTTTTTTCTCCTTTAGAAATCCCAACTTTTTTTTGGCCGTTTTTTTTTTTTTTTTTTTTGGATGTACTCCAAGGCTTGTAATGCAGGTCTTCTTTGATAATGGCCCACAGTATGTGTAAGAGCACTGGGCTGCAGCCAAGGTACACAAGCCTGGTGGTAATAGTTAACCGGGTGGACAAACAGTGGAAGTCAGCGGCGTGGAGGTAGGTCAGAGAACTGCAGCAGACAGATGTGCTGTTACACCCCCGACGCACGCACACACACACACACACACAACCTTACGCCCCCTTATCCTCACTTCCCCCCATGTTCTCCATCACAGCCTGATCCTCCCGCCTTATCTCTCTCTGTTAGGACCGACATTGCACTTGAAGACTCGGCCCTTCGCTTAGCTTTCAGATTTGGACTGCAGCTTTCTGAACACGCTGCTGACTCATGTGGGACACAGAGAAAAAGATGGCCACCACTAACTTATCTTTATATCCCCTTGTAGAGGTGGAAATAGTCATTTTTTTAACAGCTTTTAAAAATGAGATTACATTAATGTCTCAATTTGCGTGCTGCAGAATTTACATTTCAAGTTTCCGCTGCAGCAGAGGCAGATGTAGACGTCGCTTTGCTCCACACAAAACAAACAACAAAAGAAGAACCTTCTTTTTTTTCCTCAATCTCTCAACACGGGCAAAAAAAAGACATGGCTGGTGCTTTTTATGTCATCTGTGTTTCCAAGACAATTAGTGGCTTACCAAATCACATCTCATTTGACATAGATTAGCAGTGTTACACTGGCAGGCTCTGCGTTTATCTGTCTGCTGGTGATTTGTCATGGTCAGGGTTCCCCCGCCCCAACAGAAGACAAGTCGGCGGAGGTTCGATGTTTCTGTGCGAAGGTGCATGCCTTGCTTTCGGCCCGACGCCTCAGACGGTCCAAGGACTCGGAGAGCGGCAGACGTGTCATTACGCCGATCCTCTGCCGACCTGTTGCTAATCTCAGAGCGAAGCAGACCAAACACCAAACCGCACACGGCTCTGCTTTGGTCCTCAGATCTGGCTTTCGGGAGGAGGGGAGGGGGGACGCTGTATAGCGTGAATGCAGCGCTAGCCTCAACCTAAGGCCCAGAACAAAGAGTGACACCATGCTCCGTTCTGCTCCCGCTCTGCAATCAACGGGGGTTGAAATAGCAGCCTTTGAAGGGAACGAGGCCCGACTGCTGGAGCCGTCTCAAAGTAGAAAACGAGCCATTCTGACGCTAAAAAAGCCTCCTCTGTCAGCCGTCAAGGTACAAGTCTTTTCTTTCTTTTTTGTTGCTTTGGAGCAGCTCCAACAAAGGAGGGTTATCAGCAGAATGACCCTGATGAGACATCCTGGCCTACTTCTCTCCAATAAGAGCTGCCTTTTGATCAGCCTGCTTGATCTCAGTCGACCGCTGTGCACAGAGGGCAGCTTACACTGAAATGGCAAAGATCTGCTTTTTTACTTTATGGCTGCAGGAAGCTTTGTGTTGGAGAGCATTGTGCATGCACAGGTTATATAACCGGCTTGTGGAAGCCATGCCAGCAACTATCAGGTCCCCGCTCTGTGGTCAAGGGCATTTCGAGAGAATAGTGCATGGTTGAAAGATCAACATGGCTTAAAATACCTCAAGATAACAAATGTGAATTTTTAAACACAATGTCTTGCTTGTTGCATCATGTGGTGACTGGCTGATGGTTGAGTTTTGCATGCAGCAGACTCCAGCGGGTTAAACGAGAGAGCTGCATTCGAGGCACCCTAAACGGCAATCTATCAGCATTCCTGTTGGGTGCCAAGGCATTTACTTTGGACACGAGAGGGGGGCACTGTGAAGGACTGGCTCTAATTAGGGGCAGCCAGTCGGGAGGTCATGGCCAACTGAAAAAGGCCTCAGAGATACACAGACCTCAGTCAGAACGCTGCAGTCGAGTTAAGACTTGAGTTGTTTTTGGGAGCAACAAGGTCTCAGTTTGGCACCTGTAGAAGTGGCTGTACTGTGGTTGTATGTAGCAAATGCAAAATAAAAAAAAGATGTTAATATTTTTTTAAAAAATGTAACTGATCTTTAGATTTTAATATCTATTGAGAAATCAGCTGGAGACCGACCGGTCTCAAATGGCTTTCAGCTGACTGAACAACAACTGTCTGATCAAAATATCATCTTTTTCCAATTATGAATGAATCTGCCATACCTCGCCTTCAGCGTTGAGGCTGCTACTAGGTAAAAAGAAAACGAAAAGAAAAAGTTGGCAATTTTCAAAATGAATGAGGTGTTAAAAAAATAAAGTAACAGAAAAATAGAACATTGTAACAAACTATTTGCAAAGGAAAATTGTATTTTCTAAGACGTGTCGATACAATCCCGTTTTGCTCGGGCTGCGAAAGAGAGCAAGACTTTCAGAAGACGATGGAAAGGATGAAACGATCACAGCAAAGACTTTGTTTGACATGTTTGCACTTTAAACATCTTTTTTTGTAAACTCTAAGTTAAGGTAGGACAACATTCTCTAGAGAACTGGTGTTTTAACATGGCTAACTACTCTTAGTAACGGCTAAGCAACAACCCTAAAACAGCATCCAGTTTTTGTGCTGGAACAAACTTCCAGAAAACTGCAAAACTGCTGAAACGCTGAGTTTGTTTAAATTAGCCTTTATATCAAGGGCTTGGAGAGGGTAGAGCTGTCCTTGATTCATAATGACAAACATTGATCAATATAGTTGATGTATATTTATTTGATAATTTGTAATTTGTTTATTGCTTGTTTAATAATTGGCTACTATATTATGCTTTTATGATGTAAAGCACTTTGAACTGCTAAAATGTGCTACAGAAAACAACTTGACTTCATTTAAGTTCGCGTCTTACGTATGGAAAATCAAATGTCCTGTGTAAAAGGTGAAGGCATTTAGAACATGGCTTCCTAGACAAAAAGTAAAAACAAAAACAAACGGATCATATCTGGTTCCTCTAAACAAGGCGAGCCCCCCAACTTTACACTACTTCCCAAAGGCAAGTCAGGTGGGACATTTTGTCTCGACGTCTTCTGTGGAACTCCCTGATGAACAAGAGGAAAACACTCTTCAGAAATTAGCACATCAGCTTCACACTATCAGACACAAAATGCCTTCGGCGAACACAACGGCAGGCACTTTGTTTTTTTCCCCCCTGAGTAAGAGATCCATCATCATCTGGCAGCCATGTGACTGGATCTGCAGCCATCAATCTCTCTCTGTCAAGGCACAATCATCAGAGGGGACGGCTGGCATTGCCTCCCTTTTAACAGCCAAATATTTTAAAAGCTGAATGTTTTATGTAACCTTTTTTTAAGCGTGTGCACAGAATCAGGATTCTGTAGAAGAATGAACTATAATCATACGACAGACATCGGTGATTTCCTTTTTACCCTCACTTCTCTCCATTTGCCTCTTTCTGTTTTTAGTCTTTGAAGAACTCTATCAAATGATTACGTCATGAACGTGAGCCTTGAATTGGACTAGAGAATGTGTTATAAACCACTATTAATCTAAAGCTAAATTTGTTTCACGGCTAATTATTTCACAATTATTCCTTCAAAATGCATCCAGCAGTTATTTATTCTTCTTAGATCCTATGCAGTCATGCTGAAATATATTTTAAAAAATGACTGTGTAATTTTATTTTCTATTCAGGCAAAAACATGCTAATATGCTAATTTAGTCTTAGCAGTAGGCATTTAGAGTGTGATTGCTTTTAAAGTGTAAAAGAGGATTTGTTTTTGGTCAAATTAAAGAATTAAAAAAAGAAAAATTTTTCATTCTGAAATGAATTGAAATTTCAAAAACAAAGAGGAATTTCATGAATTTTTTTTGATACACTTTAATTTGACTTTTTGCAATTTTTAAATATTTTACCAACTAAATGTTGAATTTGTTGTCCTCTATACACTGTAACATTTTACTCTCTGCTTCTTTATGTGTCCTGATGCTTTTAGGTGCCACAGTCTTCCTCATCACCGCTCTTATCAGTGCCAACAAAAACGGATCCCGTTCCTGGACTGGCAGCCAACAGCACGTGAATTAGCATTGCGTCTAGAAAAAAAACACACATACCGTGCATTTTATCCTGAATATATTAGGTTTGCTCTACTAAAAAATACATAAATTAGCAAATCTTCCGCAAATATTAAGGCGTTCTCTTCCACAGAAAAACCCGCGAATAGGTGAATTCTTGAATGCTGAACTGCAAACTGGCGTGGATCCACTGCAGTATTTATTTATTTTTGTTCTCTCCTGTTCTGAATTGATGCTAATCTTAAAGACGAGGGTATTCATTGCCGGTGTCGATTTCAAATCTATTTAATTCATCCCAGTTCACTGACACATGCCCAATCCCATTTACATCAAAAGTCTGAACCTCGGACCGGGAATGACATGGCGCCCAACCCTAAAGCGCCGGTGGAAAGATGCATCCAGCGGACGAGATCAGACATGACTTCCCTGATCATTTTGGTGAACTAACAATCCCCTCCCCCCCCCTTTTTTTTGTTTTAACAAACAGGTTTCACAAATCATAAACTGTATAAAGAATCAGTGTTCTCTGTGAAATAATCCAGAGTAAATAAAATAAAAATGAATAAAATTGTCCTTTTTGTGTTTACACAAGTAGAATACGGTTCTGTGGGTTCAGTGTAGGCGCATCCATATAAGGTTTTCATTTTGTATAACTGAGCCCCAAAATAGGATGCTAACTTCAGTGCTGCTAGCCACTAACAGTTAGCTCATACTGCTAACTGACTAGTTAGCCTGTCTTAGCTGAAATGCTTTTTGCCATATGAGCAAATTAAGCAGAATCCATTCAAATACTGTATGATCGTGTCCATCAACAGAGGTTGTTTAGTAGAAAACCTGCAAGACGCAAAGCAGCAAAAAAAGGCACATCAGCAGTTTATTCCACTATCTACTCCTGTATTTGTGTCTGTGGCAGCCACGTCGAAATTTGAGGTCAGAGTTGATGGAAAAAACTGCAACCCTCCAAACTAAAGAGACACAGCCAAGTTTGTCTGCTTTTTATCAAAAGCGGGCATGTTTGGTCTCACAAACATAACAGTTTTTCTTCCTGCGTTGGCCACACGTTTACACAAAACCGCTCGACGGGCCAAACACGAGGTGTCTTTTATGATCGAGCAGGCACACGAAACACAATCTGTCACCGGGGTTGGCACTGCGCGGTCCTCATATCGTCTTTGTTTATAGCTGCACTGTGAACAGATATGCCAGCGGCTTGGACTTCCACCTGACGACAGTCGTGGCCCTGACCGACACGGGGTGGTCTGTGGCCTTTTGTCTGCGAAAGTGATCATGTGTTTATTAAACTGTGGAAAGGACAAAATCAAAAGCAGCTTATTTGGTTGTATCAAAGCCAACCTGTTTAGCTCGTTCCGGCGAATTCGAACGTCTTCGTCATGACGAAGCCCTACATCTGTGCTCCGCTTTGTTCACACAGTAAATGGATGTGGTGGCACAGAGATTATTAGCAAAAGAACACTGAAGCATTTCTTAAAATAAAGGGAGGAAGGATGTCAGAGCTGGGACATGCTGTTTGGAAGTGACCATGTGACTCTCAGAGACATAGAACATTTTTTGTCAACAGCGTTATCTCCCTTAATCTGGGGTTACAATATGGCTTTTGTAGTCATGCAGCACTGAAAGATCTAAGTCTCTTTGATCTTGCTTAATAGAGTTTGGTAAATGATCTCAGTACGGGAGCTCCACCCCTTATGCACTCAAACACACTTTGGACACACTTGCAGAGACTCATTCATGCCTGCACACACATAAATAGTAAAAAAAAAAAAGTGGGGAAAAAAAGTGGGGGAAAAAAAAGGGACCGTCACGCAGGTGAAAGCTCTTCACCCTTCGGATCATTGAGCCAAGCGTTCAAGCGGCAAAGTAAAAAAGAAAAAGAAAAAAAAGCGTGCTCCTTTCTTGCTCTTTTGCTTCCTGCAGACGCTGCTGCCTTTTTAACGATGTTGCTCTGCAGCTTTGCAGCTGTAAATCTGTCCTTCATAAACATGCTGCGCAAATAGTTTTGTCGTATGGAACCCAAACAACTTTGAATGAGATTGCTTCGCTTTGGGAGGTACTTACAGGCTGTATTTACCAAAGAGACGAGCACAAAGCTATAGTAAAAAAAAAAAAATGTCTGAGCAAGTGACTGAAGGAGCCACAGGGAGCCTGGGAGAGGGAGGGTGTTTGTCAGATAGCATTTATCTGTGGCGGTGGTGATGACTCTTTTCCTCCAAGTTCTCGGCAAACGAAGAGCTTCCTGCCTTTTGAGAGCGTGCGGCCGTTTCTGTCCTTGAAACTGAAGCACATGCAATGAATTACAACCATTTTAAAGAGCTGTCAAGAAACAAGAGAGGGCTGGTTAGGAGAGGAGAGGAGGTGAGCGGGGGAGGGAATTCGAAGCTGCTCTGCTAGGATGAAGAGGAACAACACAGGCAGCGAAATGAAAAATTGCAGAGAGGCTTCTGAGCCTTTGATGTCGCCGGGAACAGAGAGGTCTGCTCTTAGAAGTCGTTACTGGCAGACGTCGTGGCCGAAAGGGCCAAAACATTAACCGGGGGATGTCCTGATCAAGGTTTCTTCCCTCCAATACATTTCTGAGATTTCAAAAGTTAGTCCTTAGGTAAAGACTGAGTTCCTGTCTACAGTTAATCAAATCAACGCCACATATATGCAAGAAAACCAAGGACTTTTCACTGCAGTAAAATAAAACTACATTTCATCTCTATCGCATTGGTGTGCAAAATGATTGTGATTGTAACCAACTTAAGAATTACAAGACTATTCAGTCAAGAGTAACATTCTGCATGCTTGCAGTATCCATTGAACTGCAAAGGTCATCATCAGCAGATTTACTGTCTGTTGTGATGTGGCTCACTAACGACTGAACTCATAATACCTTCTAATGTGGCTCCAGTTAACTCTGTGGAGATGTGACTCGGCGTTGGCAGTGTTTCTTATGTGCATTTTGAATTATCACATTACAATAGCTTGATGGAAACTGCGAAATTTGAAAAAACGTCCTAAAATTTGCAACAACAACAAAAAAAAGTTTTTACGCTCAGTTGAGGTGTTTTTTTTTTTAGCTTTTCTGAAAATACGCTAAAGAGCAGATGGAAACGCATTTACAGAATAAATACTGACGTAGCAAACGCTCCCATCGACCGGTGGGCCTTAACAAATGAAATCCCCCAAAACTTCCTAAATCCAAACCTCTAGCTTGGGTGGAGGACTCGCTCCATTTTTCTGAGATGTGTGGTTCATGCTAGTTTGCATCTTTACATCTTGTTGGGTTAAAATTCTCTGGTTAGCAAAGTTACCCACTGCGTAGCCTGGCTGACTTGCTCCAAAGCGGTAGATGGAAACACGCCTAATTCGCCCCTTTTCGTCTTTCCTGCGACATTTTAAAAGTTCACCAAAAATTCACATGACCAGTTGGATGGAAGCGTAGCTAATGTCAGTGAACAGCAAATTTAAAAACTTTCTAAAGCTTCTTAACTGGATTTAGGTCTGGACTTTGGGTTATTTTAACACATGTTCATGTAAACCATTTTATTGCAGCTTTGTCTGCATGTTTAGGGCTGTTCTCTGCTTGAGGGTGAAACTCTGCTCTGCTACAAGTCTTTTGCAAGCCCCTAACAGGTTTTCTCCTAGGACCGCCCTGTATTTAGCATCATCCATCTTCGTATAAACTCTGACCAGCTTCCTGGTCCCGGCTGAGTGAGAGGAGCATGATTTTGCCACTGCCATGTTTTACAGAGAGGTAGGGGTGTGATTATGTGTGGTGTTAGCTTTCCACAAAACACAAAAATGTTTGCAAGTAGGCCAAACGCATCGGATTTGTTCTAGAATTGCCCCGTCCATAGTGGCAGCATGTTAGTTTCATCGTTTTTTGTTTTTTTTTTGGTTGGGACATTGAACTTTTTAGGAAATTTTTTTTACTCTCCGACATTTTGTAAAGATGCCCAACCATGTATTGTTTTTACAAGTGTGAGCCGCTGATGAGCATATCAAGAGCTCAAATAACGCCCTCGCTACAACCCCGGATGCCAGAGGAGCTGAAAAAGAGGCTTCAGATGCAGACAGGGAAGCTTAAACCATCTCTCTAATCCATCATCATGGATAACGACCACATCCCCAAATCCAGCGTCTCTCCGCCCGACTTTCCAACCAGACGCAACTTTAAAGAGGAGTGGCAAAAGCAAATGAGGTGGATTAGCAGTGACTTATGAAAACGTTTAATTTCCCTTTGGGAAAAATAAAGTATTTTTTAAATTGAGCTGAATCTGTCCAGAGCATCTTTTTTTCACGTTTGCTGTGTTTGCTCTTCATAATGCTGCTGTTTTTCAAAGCAACTGTATTTATACTGAAAATAAATTGCAAACTGGGTGACTTGAGAATGTAGTTGGTTGCAAAGGATTTTATCTAGGTATACCAAAATAGATGACGACTAATGTCTTTTCCGGCATTTATTTGCTACGTCAGCATTTATTCGGCAAAAAAACCCTGAAAATCATTTATCATCTCCTTCAATCTCACAATTACATCGTAGTTTGTGTTGGTTTGTCCTCTAGCGCCCTACGAAGAGACACTGAACTTTGTGACCGTCATGTGGCAAAACTGGAAAAAGTTCAAGGAGCATGCGAGTTGCCTTTTTGCATTACAGGACAATGTACGATGCAAGAACTATCTCTTCATTTATAAATAGTTTTAGTGATAAAACTCCAAAGCAATGCTAAAGCTCGTTCTACCGATCATGACCTTTTGATTTGCGCAGACACAGATGAAGTCAACCCTTCTTCTCGGCGGCTCGTGAATTCTCGCGAGGGGTGGTACAACTGTCATGCGTGCAACACGGTTCTCTGTAAATCTCTATAAATGTGCCATTGATCCCCCCCAGAGAGAGGATGGCTTGGCCTCCACGTCCACGATGGATCAGCAGCCTCTCCTCTGTGCTCTCAGTGGATCGGTTTCAGCTGGAAAGCGACAGGTGCTTCCCTCGACTCGAGCTGGAGCGACAAACTCCGAACGGCTGT